TTCCATTGGGTGTTGCTATGATATTAAACAGATTACTACTGGGACTCAATGTATGCGTACAGAAAGGCATGCCAAAGGTTTAAGGTCTTTGCCTGTGTTGCTTTGCCCATTGTTCTATGCAGGCCGAGTCTGTTGTACTTCAAAAAGTTGGTGTTGTACTTCATTAGCTGGTGCTGAGAAAAATTGTCAGCGACTACTTTCGAAAAATAAATCCATAAAATGGAGTCTTCCAGCTTGTACTAAAAGTTTTACACTTTCATGAAGGTGATCTGACTAAAATTTATACGTACATTGCAGCATTCAATTACTGTACACAGCAGCTGTGCAGATGGCTCTTTTAATTAGAGTATTTAGTGTATCTTCTGCAGAAAGAACCAGGCAATGAAAAAGGAGAAATTTAATGAAAGTAACAAAAAATGGAAATAGTTTAATGAAAGTTAAAAAGAAAAAAGGAGAATAACTTAGGATGCAATTCTTGCAAGGATTTCCTGCTCTTTGAAGGTAGCTCTTTAGACAATCTGAGGGAGAAATCTTTGCAGATTTGTTGCCTCGGGAGGTCTTGTCAAGCACTAAGAATCAGGTAACTGATCACTAAGCTTTGCCCAGCTGATGACCACGTAGATGACAGCTGAAGACTTCAAAAGCAAGATACTGTCTGGAACTCAGTTTTTGATGGGGCATGGACACATCACTGAATGCATCCTATGGCTATCGTCAGAAAATGGCTGGATCACATTAAGTCATAGCACGTACAAATGCTATAAAATCACTTCATATCCGAAACATCCTGAGTTAGTAACACTAACTACTAACACCATGTAGTAACTGTAAAGAATACAAAGCTATTAAAATCAGAAATCCTGGCTATTTTTTAACCTATAATGCAGTTGCTGATCTAGTTATATTCCTCGGTTGTTAGAACAGCACCAGCATTTACTTATGTGGCCTTTGCTCGTATTGGAAAAAAAAATCACACACAATATATGTATTAAAAAGGAAAAAAATGCACTAAGACAACACGATTTTTATATATACTTAAATTTACTACTGTCAAACATAAATGCTTGAATAATACTAACTTGGGCAAGGAAGACGTTTTTAAGGGTCATAAATGATAGGCTTGAACCAGGAAAGCCCTCTTAGCAGGACCAGTAATACAAGCCACTCTCAACATAAATTCCAGCATTTCAATATTCTAAACTCTTCAGTGAATTTAAAATTTCATAATTATGGCGAGCCTTACCTGGTAGACCGGGTGGGGTTTTCAGATATTTGCCATTAAAATGTTGAATTACTACTTCACATTTTTCTGTAGACTCCATTCTGGAAAAGACAAGAGGGTGGGATGGGGGAAGAGGCAATGTGTGTTAGCAGACTTTTATGAAAGTGCTCAGTCAGCAAAAACAAAAAGCCAAAGGAGAAATAAAGGACAAGCACAGATGCTGCGAGAACTCTTCAAAGCTGTTCTTGCTGATTTCTGCAGAGAAACTGGTTGAGCTCATTATGGTACGGTGTGACTTGCAAGAAGGACCTGCCACCCTCAAAGCCTGCAGCTGCGCTCCCGGCTGTGTGTGAGCTGCAGCGATGTCAATGAACCGTCCCCTTTTGGCTCCGGGGATCACCCTGAACAAGGACATTCTTTATGCTCTCACGTGCTGCTTGGAAAGGCAAAGGACATGTTTCTAGATTCCTTGTGTACCTAAAATAACTTCAAATGGCATGAAAAAAAACCCACCAGGATTTGGAGAAGAACCCAGAGGATTAAGCAACAATTATTAAGGATTACAACGTTAAAAAGTAACCTGCAAAGATTGATTGTACAGCAAAATCAAAGACAATGCATATATTCCTATTAAACCACAAAGCTCAATTTTGGGTTAAAACAGTCATTCACATGTAATACTTGTAGGTGAAATGCCTTACTGTTCATCTTATATGACCTCGAGATAACTTTAAGCATTGAGTGAACTGGTACATATATTATTGAAGGAACTGTAAAGAATACAAAGCTACGAGTCAAGTCTCAAAGCACCGTTATACCACACCTGGGAATTCACCATTCTTTCAGGTCTTGTACACAGACTGCACGCTAGTCCAGAGAACAGTTGTCTTTGCTACAGAGTGAGCATAGAAACTTTAAAGAGAGGAAAAACAGGAAGCTAATAAGGAAGCAAAAAGCAAAATCATACGGCTTTTGTTTTTCTTAGAAAAACTGTGTTTAAAATCCATGTTCAATGCTCCTTCAATACACCAGTGCCCGCCTTCAGGTACTGTAAAATCACTCCACTGACATAAATATTGTCTACGTCTCACGAGTCTGGATCTTTTTAAAATGAATTTATCTACCACCCTTCCTGTCATGTGGTTTAAGGAAAGAGTAACATGCGTTCCGGGTGGCTCACATAGAGTTCAGAGCAGCAGTTTGTTTCCTGGGGTACAAGTTTGCCAGAGTTTAAAGGACCACACCACCATCACCAAAAAAAGAGAAAAAATAAAAAAATAAAATTAAAACAAATAATCCTGATTCCCAGATTAATTCTCTGTGCAAATCAAAGCCTTTTGTCAGTTTGTTTCAGGTGGAATCATTACAAATTATTCCTTCCAGGTTTTATCACTGCATATCATGTAGGCTGGGCTATTTCTACACGCACAAAGACAGTAACTTAGATTGTTCACTTTGGCTTCATTCAGATTTAACTAAGTGAATGTCTATACTGAGCCTTTAGAGACTCTTGTCTCTGAAAGAATAAATGCAATAAAAGTCTGTTTTCTGTAGCTGCAGGCGCTTAGTGTCAAACCATGTTATGTTGCACCACACAGCAGTGACAATTTCATTTTAATACATGGGGTACATTTTAAGCAGCCAAAGCAGCCCCTGCAAAGAACGCAATATATAAGCTGCCAAGTGAAAGAGACTCAGTGCACTTCATGCATTTTATGTGGGAAGAGAACAAAAGCGAAACCCACAGTGTTTTGGGATAAAAAGGCCATCATTCGAATAGCACTCTGAAAAAGAATGTGCACATTTTCTTCTCAAGTTTCACAATTAACGGCTCTCAGATGCCATTGCTAGCTATCTAAGCTGGCACACGCTTCGCTTGAAACCGACACTGGCATTATTGACTGAGTGTGAAAAGGCAGCACAATAGACAAAGCCGTCTATACGCGCTCCCCTCAGATGTGCTGCTGAGTGACAACTGCACCCATCCTGCCTCTCCCCTACCTGAGTCCCCGCGTGCTTTCCGCAGCGTGGGCCTGTAGGGTAGACCTTCCACTCGGCCACGCCGAGACCGGCCCAGCAGCTGCTCACTAATCAGGCTTGTGTCTACCCTGGGCCACCTACCTATGAATTATAATTTTCACTTGCCCACGATACCTGTTTTTTTAAGAAATAACCCTTTCAACTTGTGTTCGTCAGGCTGGTTAGCTCACTGACTGGTTGGGAACAAGGGAGGCAAAGTAACCAGAGATATTACTAAAATAGTCCGATATTTGCCATCACAAGACCCTGGGTTTAGTTTATTTAAAATTCCCATCAACATCAGCCTCTTAGGTGGCAATTCCTATGGCGGGTGCCTACCCATAAGCTGAACCTATCTGCACACACCGATTCAGACAGTGCTCTTTCTGTTCTTGCTTGGTTTAGCCATAAAGACTAGCCATACCTGGGAAGAGGCCCAATAAAAGTACACTTTTCCTAGGTCCACGCTAATAAATTCTACCTACTTTTTCTTCAAAAAGCCGTGGCGCTTCTCTATGGTAGAGCATGTTTGGAAACTTGGGGGAGATGGACAAAACATGCTTTTTGTCATGAATTTATTCTTCTCCTCTGAGACAGAAATGTTTCAAACATTGGTTGAGACTGATATTTAAGCAAAATAACAAAAAATAACAAAACTGTCAT